CACTGCCAGCACTGGGGGACACTGCTCTGGGGCACTGGTGGGGCTGGGGGACACTGCCAGGGTTGGGGACACTGCCTGGGCTCAGGGCACTGCCGTGGGGCACTGCTGCTACTTGGGGACACTGCCAGGGCTGGGGGACACTGCTACAGAGCACTGCCGGGGCTGGGGACACTGACAGGGCAAGGGGACACTGCTGGGGCTGGGGACACTGCCATGGGGCACGGCTGGGGCTGGGGACATCGACAGGGCAGGGGGACACTGCCGGGGGGCATTGCCAGGGCTGGGGACACTGCTCTGGGGCACTGGTGGGATTTGGGGGCACTGCCAGCACTGGGGGACACTGCTCTGGGGCACTGGTGGGGCTGGGGGCCACTGACAGGGTTGGGGACACTGCCTGGGCTCAGGACACTGCTGTGGGGCACTGCTGCTACTTGGGGACACTGCCAGGGCTGGGGGACACTGCTACAGAGCACTGCCGGGGCTGGGGACACTGACAGGGCAAGGGGACACTGCTGGGGCTGGGGACACTGCCATGGGGCACGGCTGGGGCTGGGGACATCGACAGGGCAGGGGGACACTGCCGGGGGGCATTGCCAGGGCTGGGGACACTGCTCTGGGGCACTGGTGGGATTTGGGGGCACTGCCAGCACTGGGGGACACTGCTCTGGGGCACTGGTGGGGCTGGGGGCCACTGACAGGGTTGGGGACACTGCCTGGGCTCAGGACACTGCTGTGGGGCACTGCTGCTACTTGGGGACACTGCCAGGGCTGGGGGACACTGCTACAGAGCACTGCCGGGGCTGGGGACACTGACAGGGCAAGGGGACACTGCTGGGGCTGGGGACACTGCCATGGGGCACGGCTGGGGCTGGGGACATCGACAGGGCAGGGGGACACTGCCGGGGGGCATTGCCAGGGCTGGGGACACTGCTCTGGGGCACTGGTGGGATTTGGGGGCACTGCCAGCACTGGGGGACACTGCTCTGGGGCACTGGTGGGGCTGGGGGCCACTGACAGGGTTGGGGACACTGCCTGGGCTCAGGACACTGCTGTGGGGCACTGCTGCTACTTGGGGACACTGCCAGGGCTGGGGGACACTGCTACAGAGCACTGCCGGGGCTGGGGACACTGACAGGGCAAGGGGACACTGCTGGGGCTGGGGACACTGCCATGGGGCACGGCTGGGGCTGGGGACATCGACAGGGCAGGGGGACACTGCCGGGGGGCATTGCCAGGGCTGGGGACACTGCTCTGGGGCACTGGTGGGATTTGGGGGCACTGCCAGCACTGGGGGACACTGCTCTGGGGCACTGGTGGGGCTGGGGGCCACTGACAGGGTTGGGGACACTGCCTGGGCTCAGGACACTGCTGTGGGGCACTGCTGCTACTTGGGGACACTGCCAGGGCTGGGGGACACTGCTACAGAGCACTGCCGGGGCTGGGGACACTGACAGGGCAAGGGGACACTGCTGGGGCTGGGGACACTGCCATGGGGCACGGCTGGGGCTGGGGACATCGACAGGGCAGGGGGACACTGCCGGGGGGCATTGCCAGGGCTGGGGACACTGCTCTGGGGCACTGGTGGGATTTGGGGGCACTGCCAGCACTGGGGGACACTGCTCTGGGGCACTGGTGGGGCTGGGGGCCACTGACAGGGTTGGGGACACTGCCTGGGCTCAGGACACTGCTGTGGGGCACTGCTGCTACTTGGGGACACTGCCAGGGCTGGGGGACACTGCTACAGAGCACTGCCGGGGCTGGGGACACTGACAGGGCAAGGGGACACTGCTGGGGCTGGGGACACTGCCATGGGGCACGGCTGGGGCTGGGGACATCGACAGGGCAGGGGGACACTGCCGGGGGGCATTGCCAGGGCTGGGGACACTGCTCTGGGGCACTGGTGGGATTTGGGGGCACTGCCAGCACTGGGGGACACTGCTCTGGGGCACTGGTGGGGCTGGGGGCCACTGACAGGGTTGGGGACACTGCCTGGGCTCAGGACACTGCTGTGGGGCACTGCTGCTACTTGGGGACACTGCCAGGGCTGGGGGACACTGCTACAGAGCACTGCCGGGGCTGGGGACACTGACAGGGCAAGGGGACACTGCTGGGGCTGGGGACACTGCCATGGGGCACGGCTGGCGGTGAGAGCGCGGGCCGGGGCCGTGCCGCTCCGTACCCTACTCCCTCTTTCACCTCCCGATGCTCCTGCTGGGGTCTCCTCTCCCCGGCTCGTTAAGCCGGCGCTCTTCGTCAGCCCCTCGGGCGACGCGCTCTTCCTCTCTCCCCGTTTCCACCCCGCAGTCTCCTCCCGGGAGATCCCGCTCCGTCGCTCCTACAACAACATCCCCCGGGCCAGGATGCGCACGCTCAAGATGTCCATCGTCATCGTCTTGACCTTCATCGTCTGCTGGACGCCCTACTACCTCCTGGGCCTCTGGTACTGGTTCTCCCCCGAGATGCTGACCCGGGAGAAGGTGCCGCCGTCTCTCAGCCACATCCTCTTCCTCTTCGGCCTCTTCAACACGTGCCTGGATCCGCTCGTCTACGGGCTCTTCACGGTGCATTTCCGCAGGGAGATGTGGC